AAAAAAAAAAAAAAAAAAAAAAGTCAGATACGTGGTGGCAGTGGTCGCTCAGACGGAACCATCAAGGGTCTAATAATAATACTCGACTACGACATACACTTGCCGAGTTACTAGCAGAAAAAAAAAAGTCGTGCCTGGCCTGAAAAGTTGCGTGGCCCGCCATCATTCAGTCTCGAGATTGTGTCATCATTCCTTCTCTCATCGTCTTCTCTATTTCAACTCTTTTGCTTCCCACCGCCTTCTTTCATCCTCTACTCTCTCTTCTGATCCCTCCTCCCCTCCTCCGTCCTCTTCTCTCTCTCTCTCTCACACATACACACACACTCTCTCTCTCACACACTCTCTCTCTCTTTTATTCAACACTTGGATATCGACGACTTCAATCCCTCATTTCAACCTCTTCTTCTTCTTCTATCAATTTATTTCCTGCGACGAAGAAAGAAAGGGAAGAAGAAAAAAACCATCAAGGGACCAGCAGCATCATTTCGTCATAATCCATCCATCCATCCATCCTCCTCCTTCTCCTCCTCCTCCAATCCATCCATCCCCCCCCCCCCCCCCCCACCAGCAATATTTACCGGAAGAGAGAAAACAAAGGAAGGGTCTCTCGAGGACGTTCCAGAGACTATATATATATTATCCTCGAACTCCTCGAACTACGACCACAAGACCCAACTTTTTTCCGACAAGAAGAGAGACGAGACGGACAGAGAAGAAAGGGGAGGACTCATTCACTTCCCAAGACTATATATACACACACACACACACATATATATATATACATACACCTCGTCCTCGCCGATCGGAATCATTCTACCAGTCACCTGCCCCCCCTCGACCGCGTCGTATTGGTATAGCTAGTTACCTCTCAGGGTCCGCACATCTGATCAACGCCTCCCATCCCCCCACCCACCCACACACACACACATACGCACTCACACGGACGGAGTTGTTACCTTGTCCACCCCCCCACGATAGCGACGTCGGCCTGGACGAGAGAGTGATCAGCAGCAGCATCTCTCGCTATTTTCTCTTCTTTCCCATCTTTTCTTCTCTCCTCTTCCTCTTTTCCCCTGCAGCCTGGTTGCAACCGTTCTTCCCCTCTTCCCTTTTCTATAGATTGTTTTATTGTTTTATTTTTTATTTTTTTGCCCGCTCCTTCTCTCCTTCCCTCCTTCCCTCCTCACACCAATCTCACTCATCTGATAAGAGAGAACCCAAGAACCCACCCACACACATACCGCAGTCATACATACAACCTTCTGCGCTCTCTTCTCTCTTCCTATCTCCCCTTCCTTACATCTTTCTCTTCTCTCTTTCTTTTCTCGTCTTCCCCCTCTACCCGCTATCTTTCTCCATTCTTCCTATCTCTACCTCCCCCTCCCCTCCCCCTCCCCTCCCCCTCTATCGTGTTATTACCGTGGAGAAAGAAGAAGAAAAAGGTACACCACCGTTGATCTTATTTAAAGAGGCCTGGCCCACTCCGCACGCACACACACACACACACCATCATCATGCCTCAGCCTCACCACCAGCGTCGCAAGTCTGGCCACAACTACAACAACAACAGCAGCAGCAGCAACAACAACAACAACACATCGGTAACGGACAGCACAAATACAGTCTCTACCAAAACCGTCACAGTCTCAGACATGTCCAAGCCTCGGCGACCAAACATGTCCAGGCGTCAGACCCCCGTCAACGCCCAGAAGCTGGGCAAGGGCCCTCGCGAGCGTGAGAGGGACCGTCTAGACGCCTGGGACGACGAGCGAGAGAGCTTCCCTCAGTTCTGGTGAGTCTTTCCTCCCCTCCCTCTCCCCCCCCCCTCTCTCCCGTCCTGCTCTACCTCTCCTCCCTCATGCAATGCTCCATACCACCGTCGCATCATGTGGCTGACCCGGGGAACCCAAAACGACTAGCATGACGTGCGAGAAGCAATTCGTCCCCTACCACCAGCACGGCTCCATCTACTGCTCCGAGACCTGCCGCCGGGTCGACCAGTCGTACTCGTCCGCCGCCGTCTCGGCCTCGATGCCCCGGTCGTGCAACGGCACCGACGGTCGCGGCCACGGCCACGGCCACGCCTTCTACTCGGCCGACGACTCCCAACCGAAGGACATCATCCCCCAGGCCTCACCGTCTCGACCCCCCTCCGTCATGTTCGGCGCCTCCCCACCCCGCACCCCAGGCACCGCCGTCCACGGCTACGGCTACGGCTACGGCGGCTCCTCGTCCGCTTCCTCGTCCGCCATGGCCGCCCTCCGGTCCCTCAGCCTCAACGGTCGCCCCCCCAGCCCGCCCTCCCCCTCGGGCAGCAGCACGGCGAGCAGCAGCGTCTGGCCCTTTGGTGCCGGTCCCGGCGCCGGTGCCGCCGCCGGCTCCGACCTCTACTCGTACCAGCACCAAAGCCCGGCAACGTCGTACTCGCGACCTTCGGCCTTTTACCTGTCCTCGACGTACGACGCCGCCTACGACGGGGGCTACTACGACCTCGGATCCGCCACTGCTGATCGTCCACTGCCCTCCAGGCATCCCGGATATCACTCCAGGCCCAAGAGTATCGAGCTCGTCACGCCCACCATCAGCCGCTGATCTCTCCTCCTTGTTCTCCTGACTTCCAAAACATGATTTTACCGCGACCACATTACAGAAAAGTTACCGGCGTTTTCTTCTCCTCTTCTCTTCCCCTTATTCTTCTTCCATCTGTTTTCTTATTCCTCTTCACTTTTTTTTCTATATTCGGGGATATTGATACCAACACATTCAACTGCAAAGACAACAAGAGCAAAAAAAAAACAAACAAAAAAAGGAACAAAAAATTTCATCAAGAGAGGGAAGCGCTTCGGATACTCTCATATCAACCAGCCATGTTTTCATATATATATATATATCTATCTCTTTCATATACTCTTTTTTATTTTACATCTTTCATATTCGGCAGGCATATTATCAACGGGAAGGAACATCCATCCATCATCTACCATTTTTTTCATCTTCTTCTCATCCTCATCCAACTGTTCATCTCTCTCATCCGCTTCTTCTCTTCTCATCTACCTCCTCTCTTCTCATGGAAGGAAAGCCTAGGCAAGAGGCAGCCCGCGCGCGACAAAGCAGACACGCGAGCTGAAGGGGGAGGGGAGGGGAGGAGGGGAGGCCCATTGTTCGCTAACGGACCCCTCCTCCGCGTGCCTCGTCTTCACCCCTCCCCTCATGCGCGTCCTAGGTCTCTTTTTTTTGTCTCTGCCCCATTTTTTTTACTGAACTCATCTTATCCTGTCTTGTCCATGTCCGCCCACGTGCTCAGAATCTCCGAGACATTGCATTTCAGACCATTGGCACATGATGGCGTGTTACTTTCTCAGGTTTCTCTTTTTTTTTTTTTCTCTTTCTCATTCAGCTATTAGGTCTAGGGTCTAGCTCATTTGAAATTCATGAGGACAAAAACGAGTCCATCTTGATCAACTGCTGGTAAAGAAGACTAGAGGAAAAAAACGAAAGAAGAAAGGGGGGGGGTTGCATTCCTAACCTAGCAGTGACGTTGAAGATAAGGGATGATGGCAATGACAAACATACAATCATAATAATAAAACACCCTCATCAACGTAGTAGTAAGTGCAGGAACGGTTCCAATGTCCATCCGGTTGAGTCCAATAAACCAGTGGACCGGTCATCGATACATGTAATAATACAACCTTGTCTGTCTTGTCCATCCTACCCATCAGGGTCTGATGAATGCCTCACAAAAGGAGTGCATGCATCTGAAATGTCGTGACTCCGCGATGTCACAAGTGGCAACCCTTTTAGCTCTCTCTCTCTCTCTCTCCCTTTCTGTCGCCACTTCAGAATTGATGGCTTGTATTTTTCCTGCTGGTCGGCTATCTATTGCCCATATCCGCCTTTCCTTCCTGCTCTCCCCTTCCCTTCCTCCTCCTTCCTCTCTGCCGTCCCGCGCGCCACAGACGACAACACCCACTCTATATCCACACACACACGCACGCACGCACGCACGCACACACGCACACACATGATGCTCTCCGGACTCATGGCTCCGGCTGCATGTCTCTCAGCATCTGCAGTGGACCTGACCTGTGCAGGGTGATGTAATATCATCATGCAGAGGGACGGGAAAAACGAATGAAGCTCTCCAACTCAACTCGCCCCCACTCACCCATTTATGCAAATGCACTCTCACGCCCGACAGAGAGATCCGCTCAACTACCGACGGCCGTCTATGGAGGGAAGAGCACCCGATCTCCCGCAGCATGGCATCTCCCACAGCGTTGCTGCCACCATTGCTGTATGACTACGATGACGGCTCGAAAGCCGTCGGTGGTAATGCCGTCGAGTTGAGGAGGAATCACGACAACACACCAAAAGACCCTGCCGAGCAATCGGGCAGGCAGCTCGGGTGCCTGCCCGCAACGCCACCTATCGCTGCTGTCCTTTACACCACGACGAGAAATGCATCGGGCAGGTAGAGAACGATAAAGTGGCACCGAAAAGCAGGATTTTCTCTTATATATATATATATATATATATATATATATGTGTGTGTGTGTGTGTGTGTGTGGATATGTGTGTGTGTGGGATGTGTGGATGTGTGGATGTATGTATGCGTGCATGTGTGTATGGCGTTATTGACATGCACATCCAGAAGCAACTAGTATTAAGAGCATGACGGAAAATAAAAAGGAATGCTTCGGGGGGGGGGGGAGGGCCGCTAGATCGATCATCACCATCCGGTCAACAAAACTTCGATTCTGTCCCAGCCAACCGGGGGGTTAGTCTACTGTCGTGGAGTAGGTAATCAGATACATGGCATTCCGTGAGGGGGCATACTGGCAAAACCAACCAAGTCCCAGTCTCCCCAGTCCAAGCTTCCGCACACGCCCGCCGTAAGGCATTAATGCTGCGATGATGTGTAGATGCCGTGGTCGATGCGGAAGGTGTACGTACGAGGGGGAGAGAGGGAGCCCGCGTCGACCGTCTCACCCAAACATCAAGCAACTCATATCATGCCTCATCGTGCCAACCACATACAGCATCACCGGTCGACGACGGCAATCTTTCCACTGATCTATCGTACCCGACATCTCCCAACTACACGTACAGAGCAGTTTCCCTCGCCCCCCCGGGCAACGCGACGCAGAGCTGACTCTCTCCCACCCGGCACGCTGTCAGCAGCATCGGAGCGACATCCATCCTGTCGCGGAATTTCTTCACCGTCCCAGAAGCTCCCATAGCCTACAAACGGACATCCGGGGCCCAACGTGTGTGGATGGGGGATGTGCGCTGTGCGGTGTGGGGTGAAATAAATTTGAAAGACTTTTTTTTTTTTTTTTTAAAAAAAAAAAAAGAAAAGAAAAGAAAAGCACGACATTGGACCTAGCTATGACAATACGGACTCACCGAGTAGGACCAAGAAACCCGAGGGTCCGAGAGCCAAGACACGGGCCGGGACCCGGAGTCCGGGGGGAGTTTCGTTCAATATTATTATTACGTGCATGTCCTATCGGTTCCTTTCCCTTCGAGACTCCACGTTACTATTCGACGTCTTTATGTTTCCTCCATGATCTACGTTTTTCTCTAATTCCCGAGGATGCGGGGGAAGTCGAAAACTAGATGTCATGTCTACATGATGCTCTTTCCCAGATGAGATCTCACCCTTTAGCAACCCCTCGAAGGAAAAGAAGGAAGAGGAAAGAAGAAGAAAAAGACTAGCAAAGGTCGAGTTCGCATCACGTCAAGTTGTATTTCTCGCGCATCTCCTCGGCGGTGAACTGGCGCGTGCGACTCCTCAGCATCTCGGCACGCTCTTTCATCGACAGGCCAATCTGGTCGCCGATAGGAACCATGCGCCGGGCCAGGGTATCGTAGTCCTTCATCATGAGACGCACGGTAATCATGATGTAGTCGATCTCGTGGAAGACCAGGGCGTCGTGGGAAGCGTAGAGCTTCTTTGCCTTGACGAAAGCGGCTGGGTGGTCTCGCCAGTGACGCATCGGGTTAAGGTGGTGGGAGGTGTGATAGCCATCATTGAAGCAGTGACGATTACTCTGAATTTTTTTTCTCGCCCCGCCTCGGATGTGTTTCCTCGTCAGCGTACACAGATTTTCCGCTCACTTGTGGGCGCGGGGGGGGTTTGCTTACGGGAACGTCAATCAGGGTTATACTGGAGCGATAGTCAGAGTCGGGCTCTACGTTATCGACAAAGGCGTGCTGACCCCAGTTTCCGACCATCAGACCGGCCCTCAGGAGGAAGAAGGGGATGAGGAAGACGCAGGTGGTGGCCCTGGGGTTGACGGTGTACAGCAGGTAGAGGGAGGCGCAGAACCCCCACTCCCAGAACATGACCTTGGCGGCCAGGAGGGGCTTGCGCTTGCGGAAGAAGTAGAGCGGCAGGTCGAGCCAGACGAGGAAGTAGAAGCGGCCGACGTAGCGGAGGAAGTGGCAGATGTCGTCGCGCTGGTAGCGCATGGTGGACGAGAGGTCGCCTGGCCCGTTACCCTCGACGTGGTGGTGCTTGACGTGGTGGTAGAAGTACGAGTTCCACGAGTGGCCCATCAGCGGGTCCGTCAGGTACGGGAACAGCGCGTCGATCCAGGCGAGGCGGCGGTGCAGGATCCCGCGCATGTGTATGTGCTGGTGCATCATGAGCGTGTACGAGCCCATGTAGCTGATCTGCATGGCGGCGTGGAGCAGGCCGTGAACCCAGTTGAAGCCGCCGCCGCCGCCGAGGAAGAGGTAGGCCGCGCTCGGCACCGAGGTGGTCAGGTACAGCATCAGGTGCGTCAGCATCACCACGTCGGTCTCGACCCGGAGGAGGCCCCTTGCCGCCCTCACGTACGGCCGCAGCAGCCACTGGTCGAGGAAGGGGTTCAGGTTCAGCGTGGAGAGGTCCCAGCTGGTGAAGACTGTCGGCTCGAACTGCTCGCTCTTCGGGTTGTTGAGGTCCCTCAGCGTCTGGACCGTCGCCTCATCGTCGTCGTCTCGGTCTGCCGGTGCTGCGCATCATCGTCAGGGCCATGAAAGTTTGTGTGTGTGTATGTGTGTGTGTGTGTGTATGTGTGTGTGTGTGTGTGTGTGTGTGTGTGTGTGTGTGTGTGTGTGTGTACGGTACCTGTCCGGCCGAGCAGCAGTGTGATATTGCATGGAAGGGAGGGAGGGGGGAGGTGTCCGGTCTCCGATGCCAAGCAACGACAGGATGAGACTGAAGCTTACCAGTTCCGGCTCTCGACTTGGGAGCATCCCCATCACCACTAGCGTCGAGCGTCTCCTCATGTCGGTGATTGTAAATGTCGGCTTCGATATTCTTGAGGACGAGTACGTCGGATCTTGTGAGGTTCGCGTCGTAAACCACACCACTTGCCATTTTTTTTCTCCCCCTGTTCAATCCCTGGAGCTTTCCTCGCTCTCTTTCCAGAACAGAGATGAATGAAAAACTCAAGAATTAGAAGAAAAGAAAGAACAATGACTTACCCTACAAAGCAACACTTAAGGGGGGGGGGGGGAAAGGGGAAGGAGGGAAACAGAAGAAAGTCGGATCAGATATGTAAACTGACTCCTTTCTTCAACATCGTGAAGAGAGAGAGTGGGTTCCCATCAAATCACTTCTACTTCTAGAGGCTCCTAAACGGGGGGGGAGATGGGAATTTGGGAGATATTTCATATAATGTGTATTAATATTGTATTACTCCGTATGTAAAACCGTGCTCGTACGTGTAATCTTAAAAAGAAGAAAAAATAGGGGGCCGAGAACGAGAAGAAGGAAAATACAAGTTGAACCCTTGAAAATCGCACGACGGGATTGAGTGCGTGGACTGATTGGAAATTATTGCCGCTGGGCATTGAATAATACCCGTCACTTCTTAATACCGGGTACTCTGTACAAGTACGGAGTCATACTAGTATTATTACTGTACCCCGTACCATACGACGATACATGGTCATATAGTCATAATATATACTGCAGCACTCTCACCAACCCTGCAGGAGGAACATGACAGGTAATACGAGTAATGCTCTCCGTTTTGCAAGAGAAGATGAGAGAGGATGCAACATTGAACCCTTATTACTGGGCATGTCGGCCGCACAGTTTGTATGAGTACTCGTATGTATTACCTCTTTCGTAAAACTGGATCATCCGCCCGATGGGCCGACCTTGGCGCACCCTCTCCATTCTACCAATACCAATATGAATACCTCGTAAGTCTCGCTAGCTAGCTTTTACTTGCCATACGACATTTTCCTTGATTCTTTCTCGTACGCGCGTCTTCTGTCAAGGTCCCTTGTCGATGGTCGCAGTTGTCGGCCATCTGCTTGGCCGTGACCTTTGGTTGTACATGCATGTATATCGAACCCCCCCCGGTCCGTCCAACCCCTTGACCGCTTCATCAATGGGAATAATGGCTTGTCAGGTAAGTTGGCTAAAAAAAAAAAAAAAACGCCATGCCGGCTATCGGCTCCTAGCGTCAAGACTTTATTGCCAAACGTCTCTGCCACGTGGATTTCCAGGTCCTAGTATCCTTGTAAGCTACACCCCCAGACTTGGCACCCCGGCGCAAGGCCCCAGAGGAAGAGTACCTCGACCCGGTCTCTGGAGGAGACGTCCGTCCGTCAACTGCAGCTGGTGTATCTCCCCCTGACGATGCATAGACACCTTCCTGGCAGAGCGGTAGACGAAGCCACAAGAGCAGTCGGATCAGTGCCCATTGATCTGTGGATCTAAGACTCGGGCATCATAGACGAGCCACGGAAGTCATCAGAAGACAGAGGCCATGAAAGCTACAGAAGCCACAGGGAACTGTCAAGGTGATGTATGAGTCGGAAGAGGCCTTGGGCAGAGAGAAGGATTTGGAAGCGAGCTGCTACATCTTGAAGCTGTATAGAGAGAGGAGAGGAGGTCGGGGAGGGAAAGAGAAAAAGGGGGGCCGGAGATGGATGGCTCACAGGTTGCCGAGCGATATCTGCTTGGCCGTCACTTTTGTTGGGACACCTGTTCACATTCTTGACAGCTTCACATCCTCCTTGTTCCTTTTTTCGTAGTCTTTTGCCTGGTCCTAATCCTCCTGATCCTACTCCTAACCTCTTGAGAGCTATTTGGATGCGACTGATATATCCCAACCCTCTGATCATCCTCTCTTTATTCCTCCCAAGGCCCACCCATGTCAGTACCACGTCCATACACGACCACATTCAAGCTCAGTGAGAACTGTTGTGTAGGCCGGAGACGGATATTGTCAACTGCCAGCAGGTAAGAGTATACACCGATCCGTACTGCTATACACGACGTTCGTCGCCTTTTCACCTCCCAGTGCCGTGTTATTCCGCGCGGCCACTGTTCAGGCCTCCCTTGCGGCCGGCCTCGCTTGCCTTTTGGCTCCCGGGCTCAAAGGATCCGGAGGACTTCTGCCCTCCTTCAGAAGATATGTCATGCTGCGATTTTTTTTGATGAGTGTGAGGCTGTTCATATCTGGGAATTCCACCTGACAAACCTGCTTATCGGCGTCCATATCAGCGAAGCCGCCTTGACTTGTTTTACCACCCTTGGAGGCGATGTTCTTCACCTCCTCCTTTGGGCTGATTCGAATGTCAGTCGTCTCGATCATGTTGGGAAGGGGGGGTTGGGATAGAATATTACCGGTTGGCGAAGTTTCCAGGGTTGCTGTCAGCCATTTTCTGCTCGAGAGACCAGTTGGGTATTATGATGCTGTGATTCTGATGTTTAGAGAAGATAAAAACCGTTAGACATGCAGGCACTCTCCAACTATTTATAATTTTCGACTTCTTTCTTTTTGAACGGGATATCACAACATCTCGTCATCATCTATGATATAATAGATGATGGTTAGATGAAGGCATCGAGCCTGCATTGCATAGTATTGACGTAGATATGACTTTTACCTGCTGCGCACTCCCTGAGGAATGAATCCATGACATTCTCTTTCTAAAAGTAAGATTGATGATCGAGATCTCGCTTCGGAGTCCGTCCTCTTCATGACGATGTGGTTATGCTGTTAGTTTATACGGTGGGAATACGAGGCCCTGGTGTGACGTCAGGTTCAGCCTGTGTGCTTCCTGCTGGCGACAGCAACGCGATGATGACCCGTAGACGTGAATGCAGCGGTCATAGCCTGCTAGTAATACATCCTGGGCCGATGAGTGTGTGAAATTGATATCGAATAATTGCTTGATTTAATATGCCACACCCCTGAGCCACATATTAATAATACGCCGCGGAATACGCCACGGATTCATGTATCGGCCCAGACCTGCGAACCTCTGCATATCATTATCATTCCTCCCGATTTCGAGACGATACCTCGACCTATATTGGTTCTACGCCTACATGTGGCAGCCGTATCCATCCATGACTTTCATCGAACACACGCCCGCGCCGTCTTCCATGCCGACGCTCCCGTGGCATCGCGACGTTGCGAGTCTGCCGCCCCCGCCCCCCCCCCTCCCCGGTGGCCTCGAGGAGATTGAGAAGTCGACAAGAACCCTCACGAGTATCTTCGATCCCTCTGGGCAATCTGCTGTGAAGTAGAATGTAGAGTAAACATGAAGTGAAGGTGAGGTGAAGAATGCAAAGCAGATATAAAGTGAATATATATTATCTAGTAGCGATAGCCGACTGCCCACCCCAACCCCAACCCCATCTGCGTTGATACTTGATACTTTTAGCTGGCCCGAGGCGAGAGAGATTTATTTCAGATTAAGAAAGAGGGCATTGATACCGCTCCGGAATCCTCTGTCCATCTCACTTTCCTTGATCTCTTCACGACAATCACGGGTCTGGAGTCTCCTTCCCCGCACACTGCCTCGACATCTGCATCCTACCCGTACAACAACAACAACAACAACAACAACAACAGCAGCAGCAGCAGCAGCAGCAGCAGCAGCAGCAATGATGATGATAACAACAATAATAACAACACTAGCGGCGATGACAATGATGCAATCAGATCAGAAGCAAAAGGACAACAAGTCTATTCATTGAGTCTATATATCGGAACCAACCTTGTCCCACCGCCGTCAACCGCAGCAAAGATGAAGTTGGAGACTGCGATACTCCGGCTCGAGAGGTCCAAGTCGGGACTGTCGGCAAACAGCCAAGATCAGGGATAGCATCTCCCTAAACGGCCGGATTAGAAGAAGAAGAAGAAGAAGTATTAACTATACAGAACATTTCAGAAGGGCCTTGACCCTACTACCCGAGTCATTCCTGACATCATCGCGCTAGGCGGATAGCGAAATGCAATTATCAGTCATGAACTCGCGCGACGGAACGCCGCTAGATGGTGAACAACTTGAACCCTCCCCAGTTCAGGCGAGAGAATACCTCCAGAGGGTCATACTCCTTGCGGACGAGGTTCATTCTTTTCCGGCTTTCCGAGGGGAAGGTCGCAAATACGTCCTGGTATTCGGCAGCATCGCCGGCGTAGAGGAACGGGTGTGCGAGACCCTTGGCCTCATTGTCCGCCTGCCAATGGTCGATGATCCTGCGAGCCCAGTTGGTGATGCGGATATCGTCGACAGCATTGTCCCAGTTGGTCACCAGCTGCCACACTAGATCGAGGAGAGTCAGCTTGGCATGTCTCAAACGAAGGCTCAGTCAAATAGTGAGGGGTTGGGGGTTGGGGGTTGGGGCTGGGGGTTAGGGGTTAGGGTTGCTTACGTATATAAGCCTGGTCATCCTCCAGGCCCCAGGTGTTTCCGATACCATTGTTCTTCGCCACGCTCAGGGCACTCTTCGGGAGGAGGTTGAGTACAAAGGTCGGGTTGACGCCCTCGACATCGGCAATGTCGTCGACCGCATCCCTCCACGACTCAAAGATCCGGTATAGTTGCGCGGCATTAGGCTTTATCGTCCCATGGCCGAATTGAACACTGCAAAAGATGAAGGTGAGTACTCGTGTTCTCACATGTGACGGCATGATGTCATATATATATATACATATATATATGAGAGAGAGAGAGAGAGAGAGAGAGGTATTGAGTCTTGGGGGGGTTATATTCATCATACCGAGAAAGCTGGAATGGCGAATCTAGCTTGGAGTGCCATTCGATCGGCTTCGAGACATTGTTCTGGCTCGACGTCGAAGGGATGGCGGAGAAGCCGGAGAAACGCGAAGGTGGTGATTCCTCTCCCTCCTGCACGCCGAGCAGCAGGGCAGAAGTAGTCCCTGTCGTGACGTTGCGAGAGATTGTGATGATGCTGCCTGCGGCGATGTCGGGTCCGTCTCGCAGAGCCAGGTTGACGGTGGCTTCGATAAAGTCCCGCATCGCAGAGTCATCGAATACCTGTATCGTCGTGCTGACCTTCGTGATGGGTAGGGTCTTGATCTCGAAATTGGTGACGATGCCAAAGTTGCTGGAGCCACCCTTGAGACCCCAGAAGAGGTCGGGATGGGAGGTGGCATTGGCGGTGACCTGGGTGCCGTTGCCGAGGACGACGTCGTAGCTGGCGACATTGTCCATCGACATGCCATACTTGTTGTTGAAGTAGTGGAATCCGCCGATCAGCTCCAGACCAGCGACGCCGATGGTCTTCATGCGACCGCCGACACAGTAGAGACCGTAGGGGTCCAGGCCGGAATAGACGTCTTCCCATCTAGCTCCGGGGCCGACATGGACAGTATTGTTGTCGGCCGAGACTCGGACGGTCGCCATGTTGTCGAACGCGAGCAGGACACCGCCCTCTATACTGTTCGAACCCGGGTTCTGCACAGGCCAGGGATGTGAGCATACGGCGACGGTCTGCCCCTGAGATCGGACGGACTTACGTTCATGTGTCCGCCACCACGGACGGCGAACTGGGTACCGCAGGAGGCGAACGTCTTGACGGCGGTAGCAACGTCTTCCGCGCTGGTGGGGAGGAAGATGCATTTCGGCTCCAAGACGGCTCGCTTGTCCCAGTAGGCCAAGGTCTGGGTCGTGTAGTTGGTCGATTCCGCGAACAGAACCGAGCTGGCCTCGAATTCGGCAGCCAGCTTGGTGCAGGCACAGTCGGCACCGGTCTGCAGACTGACCATGGGGACGGACTCGGTCGAAGCCTCGGCCACCGGCCCAAGGCCAGTCGCGGCCAGAAGCCGAACCACTGAAGTTCGCATCTTTCTTCTTCTTCTTCTTCTTCTTCTTCTTCTTCGAGGGTGCGGTCAAGGCGTCTGGAGGAGGAATGTGAATGATGAGGAAGTGGTATCTGGCTGAACCGGCTACGACGACATGAAGACGGGCAAGGCCCTCCTTTTTAAGACACTGACGCTCTCACACACGAGACACACTAAACGGTTAGCCGCAAAAACATTGGAAGGATCGACACCGTGGCTAGGCTAAACACCTCGAGCCTGAGTCGGAGCACGCGGAAGGCGGTGCAGCATAGCATCTTCCGTATATCTAGAGTCGCTCTCGCTCTCGCTGCTCCTTGAGGATTACATGTACATGTACGGATTACATGTGCGGATTACATGTACATGTACGGAGTAGTCTCTTCTCTGCAAAAGTGGATAATGGTACCAAGACGGCAATGGCTGCCGTGGCTGTCCGGGGCAGTGACTATAACGTGCCACCTTGCATAAGCTTGTTCCTCCAAACGATGTTTAGTCGTCGGTACATATTAATTCATTTGAAAATATCCATGGGATCGAATACCCATGGAAGGAACGAGGCGAGAGCGAAAGCGAGATCGAGAGCGAGACGAACCAGCGATGCTCAGTGGGTTACTAGCCTGTTCCCCACAGAAGAGACTAAGATGGAGAAGAGCGATGACTCGGCCGGATAGCGGCGTAATGAGGGAGAGATCTATAGAGTGGATCCGGTCACTCTACGAACCTCGGCATGCCTGGATGAAAGGGGAGGACTCTGTTCTGGTGCACTTGGTCCTGTCGTCAGCACGACCCAAGGCTTCTCTGTGCAGATTTCATCGTGCAGATGAGCGAGTGGTATCCCGCAGCCGCTTGCTTCTCTCGAGAGAACCAAGAGAGAGCGGGACGACGCAGGGGAAGCGGGACGATGCAGAGGACGCGGGACGATGCAGAGGATGCGGGACCCTTATCCAACCGCGGCCGGTCCGCAGAACTAGAACTACCTTCCAAGATAAGAGTAGTCAGGAGAAATCAATGCACAGATGCACAGCAGAGGCCAACCGGATGACAGGGTGACCCTTGTGAGGGACTTTCGCCACTTGTCAGAGTGCCAAAACGCGGGCGACGAGATCGCCTGTACATAATTATAGGACCTCCACCGCGTTGGCGGCGTAAGATGGCTGGGCGGAGGAAATTCGCATGTGGATCAACTCCTGACGAGCATTCATGCGCCGGACAGCAATACTGCATCTTGCCACAATAAAGTCAGGGGAGGTTAGACAAGTACAAAGAGAGAGCGTACTCGAGACAAGCCCCCCTCCCCCCCTCTGGATACGAATAGACAGCGATCATAAAAGTCTCCTGGGGTCCCTGACGGTATTATATATATGAAGATGGTAGTTGGGGGGGGGCACTGCGACTCTACCCAAATATACATTCAACTGAAATCAAGACTAGAGCATCTTTGGACGATTCTCTACTGAACCGTATAAATAGTATGAAACAGTCTAATTAGCATTCTATATGCCACTACCAATTCATATTCATGCCGGCCTCGATTCAGTAGATTATCGTATCGGAGAGGTTGAGCTATACCTCCTCTTCCCATCCATCCTCCTATGCCTCTATAGTAGCTTAGCTCTATCAAGGATCAAGGGAAACACGCCGTCAGATGGTAGACGACGGAGGGACGGTGTCATACTCTTCTGCCGTATTCGTCGGCACAGAGGCAGCTGCCCCTGTGCTGTGTGTTCTGACGGGGACGGTGTCGAGTCTGACGGTACGATAGTCGACAGGATCGACATATGGGCAAGATCCGTATGAGAGGAACGGTGGGAGAGTGTTTATAGCGAGAAGATATTTAGATATAGCTAGATGAGATGAAATATTGATGAGAATGAAACACTATAAACACTTTTTCTCAACTCATATTCGAGGTAGGTCAGGTGTTTAGCAGTGTCGAGGGTTCTTATTCTTGCATTCTTGCTGCGGTGCCGCACTCGACGGTTTCATGGTCGAGTCCCGCTTATCTAAGCTATGGTATGATTGACTAATGACACCTGGACTTATCATAGGGCTGTTCTCTAACTCGTGGTATCAAGGATCCCTTCTATATCAGGTCCTTCATGTCTTCCCTTTCAGCTCTCAGCTCATTGCTTACTCATACTTAGAATCCCCCTTAGAGGGATTCTAGGTGTTTCTCTCTCTGGTTTTTTGTCTTCTTGGTCCTTTTCCTTGGTTGGATCTCGGACACAAACCCAACCCCCCCCCCCGTCCCCCCTTTTGATCTTCAACACTAAGCTCTTCTATTTTTTTCACTGCATGAACCATATTCGTTCCTTGTCGTTGGACTGGAGGCATGTGCTGATTCTCCCTTCACTTTGCCACGCGTCTGGGTGGCGATGGATGCTGCGAGAGCTGTTAGCACGATGGCAGCACATGCATGCTGAAGGGTTTCCCAACCCTATATTTGACGTATTCGGCGCGACATACCATGATATGGACGGACGAGCCTCCTGAGTTCCTCGAGCGCATGTTCGAGAACCCGTCTCTTGTCCTCGTACCAAACTCGGCCGGACGCCACCGCTTCTGTCTCGTGCGCGGGCTGAGATACCTCTTCGTCGTCCATCTCGTCCATCTCGTCCACCATGTCCTTTTCCAGGTGCTTGGAAAGTACCGTCTGGAGGTCAGAGATGTTGACGGGTATTTCTGCATGGACGTCTGCTTCCCACCCCAAGGCGTCCGCTCTGCGTATCTTGCACCCGGCAACGAATGTTTCCAGCTCCCTCTCCTTCTGCCTTCGGTGCTGACTTTTGCTGAGCAGTATCCGTCAGGTAGCGGTTGCGGGTCATTGGATGGGTAGAGTAGAGCTGATCAATAGTCTCTCCAACCTTTTCGCCCAGGCGCTGTTCAGCTGCTGTAATACCCTCGTCCGTCTTCTGGAGAATAGCATTCCTCGTCTCAGGGGTCGTCACTCTACCCAGACTGTGCTCCGCCAAGATATGGGTGGCTGTGAAGACGTCGCCCAGGCACTCCTCAGCCAATTCTCTCCGGGGCTCGCACCGCTGCACAGAGAGCGTGTCGATGATGAGGGGGGTTGAGCTTTCCGGGAAGCTCTCGGCCTCTTGTCCGCCAAATCAGCTCATTGACTTCGACGGCGTAGTCACTCCTAGACACTCTGCCGGCGCCGCGTCCATAGTGCTGATCTGTGTCGATGATTCGTCGAGACTGGCCTCGATCAACCATCGTCGTAGAGAAATCTGCCAGACGTCGCCGGCCGGACAGCAGCACAGACATGCTTAGAGGCTCCTTCGTCGGTGAATGGGTCCCCGAGGAACTCGGGATGGAATGCGTCCCGTACACGGCAGCGTGTGCCAGAGACTCGAAAGCTCCGCTAGCCCCTACCAGGTATCGACGCTGTCCTCAGATGGTGTCTCTTGGTGATCCAAGCCGCTGCAGCGTGGACTTGGCGTCCGATATCCCCGAGACGGCCTCGTCTGCGAAGCTTGGAAGCTGCACCGTGATTTGCTCCCGCGGCAGGTCGGTCGACCTCGGCTCGGGTGTTTCCACTCCAACTTGTCCCCTGCGGAGAGAATTCCACGGCGATTTCGAGAAGAAGTCGCGCTCGGCTTCGTCGCGCTGTGCCGTCGTACGGCCCCTCTCATCGGGGCTGCGGTTGCGGAGAACATGCCAGCCACGGCCGAAGACAGTATTCTTGTTCTTCGCCAAGTCTAGGAAGAAGGCCTCGAGGCCATAGTCTCTGTATAGGTCGTCTGGCTCGGTGATGAGACCCACGGTCCGGTGGCCGTGACGATCAACCTCGGTGGTCCGGTTCGTTACCAGTTGGTTCGCAAAGTGACACTACAGCCAGGACGATGCTCCGTGGCCCCTCTGCGTATGTCCTCACCGCGGCCCGAACGATTTCGGAGCCCTCGGTTGACTGGCCTCCGCTTTGGGCGCTGAATAGGCCCGGAAGGTCGGTCATTGTGAGGTGAGAGGTAGTGTTGGACTGCTGAGCTCAACTCTGAGTACATCGTTGCTGAACCGTCGGGCGTCGGAGATGCCCACGGCTTTCTTGGCTTCCTCGACGGCATCTCCCAGGTTCAGAGATGCGATGGAGATGATACGGCTGAACTTCTGCAGATATCCTTTTTCAGGCTCAGAGCGATCAAAGCCGGGCATGATCGACACATTGCAGGAGCTCTCTTTTTTTCTGGGAGCTCGTCGAAGAACGAGCGCTGTGGGGAATCTCGTACAGAGGTTGTCCTCCGTCGGGAATGACATGCCCGATATAGCCTCCAGCACGAAACTCCTTCCCAACGACTGGTCACCGCAGACAGCGATCTTTGGTAAATCGACGTACTGGCTTATTCCCTGAGAATTGAGCTCATCGATAATATCGAAGAGTTCGTTGTGCTCTCTTGACTTGGCCACGGTGGTATCCATCAGGGAAGTGGGAAGC